AATTAATTATACTTGTATTCCTAGATTATCCCAATATTCCATATTGTATTGTATTCTACTTCCCAGCTGACCGAAACAGTGAAGTCGCTTGTTTAAAATGTAAGGCTCAGCACTGTATGGCCAAGACAGTGCTGGTTCAAGCTTGGGGACCATCATTTGTAACTCAACTTTCCCCCAGGCTATTGGTGCAATAGTAACTCCTGCGGACAGCCAAGCACCTGCAGGATGATGGCTCACAGTGTCATCAGTGATAGATGTGTCACTCCTACAATCAGTAGTAACGCTCCTGTCAGCACTATGGATCTGCAGAGTGTCAGATGACCAAAAGATCTGACTGCTGGTGATGTCAGGGATGCCTAACTGCAGGCCAACTCACTACTGTACATGCAGAGTAGGAGTTTGTAGCCAGCTGGCCAAGCTGACATATAATGGGTAGCCCCAACGATAGAATAACTGGTGAATCCACATTTTAAAACCAAAACATAGGCAATATAGCAATATAGTGTATGGAACTTATTAGTATCAAACTTCAGATAACATCAAATTTTAACATAATAAAATAATAAGGGGAGAATAAGGAAAGGATTCATTTTAAGCTCACTAAGAACAGAAATTTCAAAATTTCTAAGACTAGAAACAGTAGTTCTTCGGTGCCATTTTTGGGGAAGAAGGACAATGCTCACTGACACTAATGTCTGCTACAGGGGTCCTCACGCAATAGTGCTCAGCCAGTTAAGTAATACCCTTGGGATTCCAACAAGTGCTATTTTCTGGATTTTAATTTGGAATCTTCAGACTATAGGAGATTTCTACACATTCTGGGAAGAAGCCTACATGAGAAGAACCAGCAGACACAGCTGCTAATATAAACTGCTGTATTAAAAGAACTGCATCTCTTTAGTTGACCATGAAGGCAATTCAAAGGAGAATGGGTAAAAGTTACGTAGACTGGGTAAACAAGGGGACTATTTAGATTCAAGAGTGGCACAAGGACACTGGCCTACACATAGAAAATAAAAGGGAAAAGGTTTAAGGTGAGGAAAAGGACATGGTTCTTTACAAAAAGAGTTGTGGGTGACGGCAACAGGCCTCCCAGCCAGGGGGTCCAGAAAAAAAAATGTTTCCTTGCAGAAGCCGCTGGCTAAAATATTCAATGTTGTAACTCATAAAATGACCTACCGTAGGTGGACTGAATAGCCTACTCTTGTTCATGACCGTTCTTCTAAGTTGTTATATGACTTTTTAAAAGCATTTTATTGAAACCGATTTAAGGATTTGTCAAGTCTTTTTGTGGAACCCACACTGCCTTGTCCTGAGAGCCTCACCTCAGGCAGAAGGTAGGAGTCGTTCTGCAGCAGGAGCTGAAACAGCTCAGCTTCGTCCAGGTCTTGCAGAAAATGGGCTCTCAGAATGGCTCCATTGTGGTCCGAATGGATATCGTGTGAGTTTCTGCATTTGTTCCTGAAAAACAAATTTGAAAAGAGGAAGTTTTAGAGTGCCCTAACGTTAAAGGTAGTGCTGTGCAATAGGGCTCAAGGAGAACAGAAAAATCAAATATTTATATTCTACTTACCACCATCAGTCTCAGCTCCACCCTAGCTCACCTGATTCAAGTAAGTCAACAATCCAGAATATTAAGTAGCAGTTTTATTTCAAGAAATGCATTTGTCTCTACTGCCTCTTAATCTAGTTTCCCATCTAAATATTCTATGAACTGTTGCTGAGAAGCAGCTCCTGACTTAAGATCAGGGTACTGACATACATTACCCACACAAACCTCAGAGTGAGCACCCCCTGCTGGCCCCACTAACACCTTTTCCAGCAGCAGCCTTAGTTTTTTACAGGAGGTCTCCCATCCAGGTACTGACCAGGCTCACACCCACTGAGCTCAAGTGGCTTGTCAGTTGTGAGCTGTCCGGTGATATGGCTTCTGCTGAAGTGTACAGTAGCTGCAATCAATTGTCCCTATGAATACTGGCTGCTTTATAGTACCACCTCTGCCAACGAACGTGGAACGTTCTTATGAATAGCTCGAGATATAGTGCCTACCCATAAAAAACATCAGACGCTCTGCCTATTTTCTCAACCAGTTACAATAATACTGTAAAATAAAATCTACATTTTAATTGCAAAATACTGTATCACTATGCTGTATACTGTAAATATATTACATAATGTCTTTAGCAGATAGACTTTAAAAAAACATTTTTAAGTTTATCACTAGGACCCACTTAAATGTTAAAAAACACCCCTTTTCCTTTTATTTCCATGACACCCATGAATGCAGTCGGGTTCTTCTGAGTAGCACCTCTTTCTGTAAAGGTTTTCCAAAAAAAGCAAATCGATTATCCAAGCCTCTGCATTCCGAATAAGTATGAAAGTGACAAGCACTCACACATTTAACAGTATAATAACCAATGAAATATGCAGAAATTTAATTCCCTTTCAAAATGGGAAACCAGGTAATAAAACATAGAAGTCAATCATAACCAAGTCCAAGTCGATGCAACGTAAGCGGGGAAGTGCGTACACTGGTTCAAGCGAGGAAACGCGTGAACTTTGACTGCCAAGCGGCCGTCACGGCCCATCTCTACAAACACATATCTTCCTGTGAGATCACACCGAGCTCAATTTGTTTAAGAAAAAAAAAAGCCTTCATTGAAAAGTGGGAAGAGAAGTAGTCAAGTAACTGGAAAGCCGCATGACAACCCAAATTGAAACCGCAAACTTCCAACAGGGTATAGCAACAGGCGCTTCCGCAGAATACATAATGCATTCGAATTTGACACGATACTTTTAACATCAACCTTCATTTGGAGAATCTGTACAGAAGATAAATAAAGATATTAAACCAGGAAGAAGTGGCACTTCGCTATGTTAAATGTTTTGCTGGGCAAATGTGGGGGTAGAGAGGTCAGTCAACTTACTGTCCTAAATCCGCATTGACTGTTTGAATACCGGTATTAATCTTATTATTTGTTTTAATCATCGGTATTCAGGGGGTCGGTGCTTTAACATCCCCCCTTCACAGGATCACAAACTGCTCCAAAACCAGCTCTCCGTCTCACGTCTTACCTTCCTTGGCCGTATCTGCAGTGACCGCAAACGAAATATCTGCACAGATGGAGATCTTCGCAGGTGTTACACTCGGGATAACTTTTGCACAACCGCAGTCTTGTCTTGGCGACTATTATGCTATCAGGGCTCAGGTCGCACCCCGGGATATTTTCCTCTCTGCCCTGAACTATGACAAACCTACTGCTGTCGCTCAGGACGTCGAAGAGCCGCCGGTCTCCCACATTGCAACTCTGGCAGACAACACCCTTAAGCAGCCGATACTCCAGGCACCCCTGGTTTCTGCAAAGAGTTTTCGTGGCACAGTTAGAAATAACGAGTCCAGACATCTTGACAGAGAAACTCCTCCAGCTCTCACTCAGTTCCTCGCCCCCGGTTTCCAGACACCCCGAGAAATGAAACTGAAACGAAGAGCAAAGCAACTCCGTTTATCAAATCTCCAGCAGGGAGGGGGCAGTCTTTCCTTTCGTTCACGAACTGCACTTTATTTACAGTATGTACTGCTTGAGAATGTTCTTTTTTTCTGTTTTTATATTAGTCTAGTAAAGTTCAAAAAGCCGCTAAATCAAAAAGACGTAATAATCTGTCAAGTTCTACATATTCAAGAAATTACAACGTTTCTGACATTGTAGCATTGTTACAATTTCATTTTACATTGTTACAAATTGTAACATTTTTTCGTCTTGACAAAATAGAGTACAAATATTACGATTGGAAATAAGTTCTACAATAAGAAAGAGAAAATATATGTATATAATGCAAATTCTGCTAATTAAAATTCTAATGGGAAAAATGAGATATTACGTACTGTAACACCTAATATTATAGTTGCATAAAACTATACAACAGATTTAATTGGTTGCAACTGAAGGTAAACCGAAAGGGACATAGATTGCCTTAAGACCTACAGTACGTAAGTTTAGGCATTGATACAATTGGACAGCTTTAAAAATGTGATTCCTGTGAGTCAATTGCATACCTCCTCTTACTGACAGATTGCATCAGAATGACTTCACATTTTACACAGTGTTGTATGCAAGACTGTGTATCTACTGTATGTGTGTGCTTGGCGGGTTGTTCATGAAAGGAGAAGATATTCTTAACTGTCTTGAACTATGAACGAAAGTTCCAGTAAGGTTCCTTGGAGTACGGTAAGTTCTCTGCAAGTGCAGGAGTTAACATTCTTTCAGCAACAGTGAGATGGACACTGACACAACACAGCCTCAATGGGGATGGAGCTGTTCAGAAACATCTTGCTGAGGAGAGGAAAGACAATCAAAAGGATGAATCAAAGTTTCCCAAAGAGCAGACAAAATCCAATAACAGCAGCATCAAATTTGACCGTCTTGTAAATTATGTAAGTGTTTCTTTCTAAGTAAGGCTCACAGTAACTCAGGGAACACAGTAATTCTGGGGGCACAGGGCATAAGGTAAAACAACCACCTGAATTTGACACCAGTTCATCACCGGACACACATACACAGGGATCATTTAGAGACACTGTTTAACCTAGACAGTATGTCAGCAGGAACTGGGAACTTGTGTATCTGAAGAATATGACCCAGGTGTCAAGAGCTGTGAATCAACAGTACTAAACCAGTACTAAACCATGCCTCTGAGCCACAGTGCTATCCGCTTGAAGGAACTGATGAGTCATATATTGCCTATACAATAAATGTTTGATGCTAGATAAACTGCATACAGTCAAAAGCTATTAACTGTCTTAAGGATTTTGATTGTGAAGTCAAAACCTGATTTATTGCGAGGTTTCATCTGTTTGGAACTTGCAGTTACTGCTGTCTATACTATACCTTGAAGCAAGCTATTTTTACTACCGCATGATGGCAGGATAAGACTGCGCTCATAAAGAGGAAAGCCTAGCGTGCTGGTAATTCGGCAGTAAATCGCGTATGACCCTCTTCGGACTCCGTAGTGTTATTATTCCTCTTTCTGAACATGGAGTCTTTAAACTGGACGAGCTGTTTTATAGACCCAATTATTTATGTTTAGTGTAAATGCTAGGTAGCACAGAGGTGAACCATGCTCAAGATTTAGACATTTCCGTCTGAATTAAGTGACGAAGAATATTATTTGCGCAGATTTCTGAAAAATATATCCCATGCGATTGGACAGGAATGTTCCTGGCAAATGACAAGCAACGAAGATAACAATCTGTGATTTACGAAGCATTGCAATTAAGCAAATGTGTGCAATTCAGACTCGAGTGCTAAACGAGCTTTCTTTCATGTTTGTGAACTCCGTTTAAAGCGAGGCACCTAGACATACAGTTTATAATGAGTGAGATGTTGTCTCTGAGCCCCGTTCCGTTGGAGCAAGCCGTCCTGGAGACTTTCTTTTCCCAATTGGGGATCTTTTCCTTCGACAGGGCCAAAGACTATGTCGAGAAAGAGAAAGATGGCAGCAAGAGCGTTGGAGCTAGCTGGTCGTCTCTGTTGGCGGCACTGGCGCATCTGGCCGCCGCCGAGAAAGCCTATCACAACATGACCTTTCTGGGGCAGAAACTGGGTATGGAGTACCATGTATACTTGCTGAGTGTTACCTTATTTTGTCCACCGACTGTACTAAGGAAATACTCTCCCACACCCTTTCAGTAGCTTTTCCAGTTAAGAACTAACCTTCTCCTTAAGCTTTGTCTAAAACAGGTTTCTTTGCATCAGCTGACGGTTGCTTGTTTCTCACATTACTTACTTTTCTTTAATGTAGTTTACATGTATTGTAATTATTTTTTTTTTTATTTTTCTGTACGTTCTGTCGTTAATTCTTTGTTAATTATATTTGCAGAGTCTTATCTTAAGCTGCAGTTATAGATCTTATTCTGAGCCTTTAAATGTGTGCCCGCAGTGTTTTGAAGTGCCCCGAGTGGTCCATTCAAGTTCAGGGTTTACATTGCTCAAGTTAAATCAAAGCTAATTGGATAATTGCTTACAAAACAACTTAAAAAATGAAAGGTAAACTTTCTGTGCTTCACTCGCTTTGCCTTTCACAGTGTTTTAGCCCCGGATAAGTTTTCAGTATTTGAACAGTTTGTGGATGTCTCTGAAGAAATAAAATGGCAAATGATTAAAAAAATTTACCTGACCTAATTTCATGCTCCCAAATATAGAAATCCTCTTTGAAAAGTGAATGCGGTGAAAGACTAAGGACTCTAAATTCAATAGAGTCCAGTAAACTCTGTTTATTGTTGTTAGTCTCTCTGGACAAACTTTGGGACTGTTTTTTTTTAGTGGTACAGGGTGTCATCCATGTCTTCAGAAATGTGAGTACGTGTTTCACAAATCTTATTGTTGCAGCGTTGCCTGCACAGCAAGTTTATTGTTTAACATTGTAATTGGTGAACTTGCAGTAGGTAAGAAATTGTAATAAAGTACTGTGACAAAAATTGATATTTTATTTATGGTTCAAAGAAATGAATGCTTTGAATGCATTTAATAATTAAAGTAAATCATTTCCTTAAAGTTAAAGTGAGCAGACAGAGCAATTTACAACCATGATCATTAGCTATTTGCGTACTTAGTGAACATGAAATTCTGCTGTGTGGCCTTGTCTTTAAAAGCTTTTCAGAAACAAAAAAACTTTAAAGACGTACAGTAAGTGCATTGAGTTTGTATTATTCTTTAAAAGTACTGATGGAGTGCCATGATGCTCTCTTTTATCTGTCAGGTTATTTTAGAAGAATTTTACCAATACTAGATGTTGCAGGAGGCTGTACATTAGGGTTGAAGACTATTGTGTAAGTCACTAACCTCATTCTGGTCTTAAAAGGGCTCTCTTTAGGACTTTATTAGCCGATTCCAGCAGCTGTACATTTGATTGTCTCTGACATCCATCAGGAGAAAGATTTTAGTGGAGGGTGTTCAGCTCAACCTTTGCACCTCTCGTGTCTCCAATTCAGAACTATTCATACAGATGACACAGCTGGTACCTGTGAGGTCACTTTATTTAAAAGCGGATAACAGTGCACTGCGTGTAAAAAGCAAAGTTTGTGCTATTATTGTTATGAATAACTTATCTACAGTAAGTCCATCTTTGAAAATTGGGTTGTTATTATTCATAATTTAGGTGATTTGTTCAATGCATGGTTCATGGTTATGAATTAGCTCTTAAATAGTTCAGCAGTACAACATACCAAAGTCTGATACTACAATCAATCAGCATTACTTACCAAAACATTGCACAGCGCAGCTGATACAGGCTGTAAAAGTGTACTTTACAGGGATTATAGCAAAACAGTATCCAAAGAAACAGTTTAAACATCTCGACGAAGCACCAGAAGAGGGTGCATCTCTGATGTTTTTTGGCGTCATGTTCCACTACAGGGGTGCAAGGCAGGAGATGTTATTGGAACAATGTGGTACATATATTCTGAAAGCAGGAAGGTGGGGGATTGTGTCTTGTATCAAGGGTACTGGCGATGTAGGGGACTAAGAAAGATATGAGTTCCGAGAAAGGTACCTCAACCAAAATGAGAAAATGATCATATGGATTCCTGGGTTCACAAGCAATAATGACATCCAAGAATCAGAATGCTTATTGAATATTTCTAAAGTGTAATATCCCAATAAGTTTTGGGGTCACTTGTTTGGTTACAGCCCAACCGTTTGGCCATAGGATGAGGAGGCTCGCACCCTCATTCACAGAGAGCGGAGTTAAATGGGGCATCTGCAAAGGTGGAGATGGGGTGGAGGACAGATGCAGGATTTGAAAAAAGCTCAGGGAATTATGATGATTTAGAGGAGATGGGCGAAGCGGTGGAGCGGTGACACTGTGGCTAAGGATCTGCGCCTGTGGCTGGAAGGTTGCTGGTTCAAATCCCGCAGCCGGCAGAGGAATCCTACTCCGTTGGGCCCCTGAGCAAGGCCCTTAACCCCAAGTGCTCCAGGGGTGCCATATAAATGGCTGACCCTGTGCTCTGACCCCAGGCTCTCTCCCTGTCTGTGTGCCTGTGTCTCATGGAGAACAAGCTGGGGTATGTGAAAAGACAAATTCCTAATGCAAGAAATTGTATAAGGTTAATAAAGTAATGTTATACAGTACTTGTCTGTCTTACCCCATTTAAAAACTTCCCCCGGCAGGTGGCCAGTCTTTTTTCAGCCGCAAGGACTCCATCAGAACCATCTACACCTCCCTACACAACGAACTGAAGAAGGTGGCAGCCACGGGCCGCAACGCAGTCGGGGGGACTGCCCCCTACCTGGAGGAGCTGCTGTCTCACCTGTCTGAGCAGCTCTGTTTTTTCATCCAAGCCCGGATGGAAATCGCCGACTTCTACGAGAAGATGTACTCCCTGAGCAGCCAGAAATCCATCAACTCGGACGAAGTGGTGAGCACGCTGGAGTCTGTGCTCCAGAAGTACAGTTCAAGGTGAGTTGCGCTCTGCGGGGGAAAAAATATATTGCCTGCGTCTGCACAGCTTAACTAGTTTCACATACTAGTAATGCTTGACTAATACAGTGCGCTGGGGAATATAGTGTGATGGGGACTCCCCTCCCCCAGTGTGTAGTCCCCACTTGGGTGATGTGTCGACAGCCAAAATGCACCAGTACGCTTACCACACACCAGCTATCAGTGAGGAGGAGAACAGAGCGATGAAGCCAGTTCGTAAATGGGTATTGTTAGGATTTTGGTAAAGGCGAGGGGGAAAGGCCGGGACACAGGGGTAAAACCCCTACTCTTTTAGAAAAATTTAGATTTTTAATGATCGCAGAGATTCAGGACCTAATTATAGGGGGGCATTAGGACCTACACAGACCACAGGGTGAGCATCCACTTGTCCCTCTTCCAGTAGCAATCTTAGCTTTCTCAGGAGGTCTCCTATCCCGGTACTGGCCAGGCTCACATCTGCTGAGCTTCAGTGGGTTGCTAGTTGTGAGTTGCAGGGTGATATACTGTAGCTGCTGGCTATGACATGGTTGTTTTATGCAGTACACCTTTTCAATTTTTGTCATGAGACAAAGGAAGAGTTTTATATTATCCCTGCCTTTTCCTTTTGCTTATAAATACTGGTCCTGGGGTGACCTTTTCATGTCTGACGGCAGCCCCAAAAAAGACTCTAAACAGGAATTTTAAAAGCGAAATTAAAGGGTCTTCTATCATCTGTGACATACCTGTGTACAATCAAATGACAGTGTTGGGAAAAAGACAGCCTTGTGAATCACTCTGCACCAAACAGTATAAAACTTTGTGCCTAGCGGATATTAAATTGTATTAGACCACAGTTGTAGACTTTCAATAAACTAATAACAGAGATAAAGTACAGCTTTGTGGTTCACCACTTTTTTTTTTCAGCCAATAAAAAAAATCTGATATTTTCAGGAGTTCTGTTTTGGTAACCATCATATTTTTTTACTTTTACTTTTGAAAACTACAGTACTTAGTGTGGTAATATACACTCTCCCTAAGCAGAAACAGTAAAGTACACATTCCACTTTCTTTAAGGATAAGGAACCATATTTTGAAAACTGTTCATGTCAGTTATTTTTACCCCTGATGGGTAAAGGAGTTTATTATTACCATTTCTAGATACAGGCTACAGCACTCTTGTGAGCTACAGCCTACATGTCCCAAACTATTCAAGGTGGTGCCTGCTATAACATAAAATTTAATTTAGCATGTTATTGCCCCGTTATATTTCTTATGCATTATTGAACATAAGCGTGTCTTCATGTGTTTTTTCATGCAGAAGTTATTGAAATAGTGATTGCGATGTGGTGTCGCAGTGGAAGTTGTTTCATTCAGAAATTGCACTTTGGGCTTGCTAAGCTTCGTGATTCAATCAGGGAATTCAATTTCCTCCATAATTCAATCAGGTGGAATGATTTCTCACTCCTCTACCTCATCTGCCGTGTAATGGGGCTGTTGGCATAGTCTAGCCACACAGGTAGGCACTGCTCTTCAGTGGTAGATGAAGTGAATTTACTGCCGTTTCCAGATTTTTAATGATATTGAAGTTACCAGGCCCTGAAGTGGTAGCCAAGTTGATCTGGTCACTTTGCTTTTCAAGCCAGTAAACAGGGTTTCTTGTTTGCCTGCCTGGTGAGCTCTGTATATATATATAAAAAAATGTTTTAGAAACAGTTCCGTAAAATTGCAAAAAAACAAAATCCTGTGCGAGTTCCACTTCACACATTGATTCCCAGCTGGGAGCTGTGAAGTCTGTTTCTGAATCTGAAGTGTGGCATAGTTCCTGTGAACCCCACAGGTGAATCATTTTATATGTGCTTTGAGTGCTGTGCATGGCCTTAACAACTTGCTGCCAAAAAGTTAATCTACTCACCCTTGACATTATGGTTCCATGTGGTCATTTGTCATTACGCTTATGTGTTTCATATATATGTCATTTGTCTGAGCTTCTCTTCCTGTTTACAGCAATGACTGACAGACACGTGGATATGTTGAAACCGCAACTAAAGGTGTTTTACTGCAGTGTAACTGGATCTAGAATTGCTTTTATTTTAGGGGGACAATTTGGCCTTTAAATCTATGAAAACACGCCATTTTCATTAAAACTGGCTTCATGAATGTGGTTTTAAATATCTATAATTCATTTGTTCTTAAGAGTTGCCTGTTTGTGGTGGTGAATGAATTTTAGAATACCCTTTATTCTTTTTGTAGATTCCTCTCAAGTTGTTCCATGCCTTTATTGTGGCCTAACAGATCCAGTTATTCCTCTAATCTTTCTTTATAACTGCCACACTTCAATCCTGACAGAGGTCTTCAGTGGCTTTCTGTGGACCTGTTGTAAGAAAGTAATGATTTGTATGTTGTGGGGACAACACATGAACACCTGACGTGATTTTCAAACGGCATATCTGCAATTTTCCTTTCTTAGTTGTTTATGGTTTATATACAGTACTGTAAATGTTGACTTGTGTCAGGTTTTTGGTTGGGCTGCCCAGTTATTGAGCAAAATAGACCCACTGCCCTTCCCCAGTGCACTGTTAAGTTTTGTTCCATATTAACTCCCTCTTTACTCATCTCCCAGTCTCCATTAACAAGTTTCAGTTAACAAAATCCGCATGAGTATAACGCTTGAGTTTAGCCTGTGGTGACAGGAGGTAAAAACCCAGCATTATGAAAGTTTGCACAGAAAAGGGCAGTGCTGTCATTTAAAATGAACAAATATGCGGTGATGGCTGCACTTATTTAAAAATAAAACACTGCAGGTCGTGAAAGCTAAAGAGTAGTTTATTTTTGGGAAGGTTAAATGCTTAATTACCCTTTTTACTGTAATTTATACAGGTGGAAAACAGTGAAGTTACGTGGGTTTCAGTTTCTTCTCCTGTAGCTGTTATTTTCTAAAAAATATATATATTTTGACCTTAAAAGTTCTAACCTAAATATCCCTCCAGGGTATTCATGCTGTTTAAAAAAAAAGTTTTAATAAAGCAAAAGTGCTCAAAAAATAATTACCCCAGAGATGAGAAATAATTACCTCAGAAACTTACACAGAGAATAGAGGAGGTCAGAATAAATATTGGGATCTTTACTACATATATAGCTGGATACATGGAAAGTAGTCAATTCTATCAAAAGCATACTTTTTTCACATTTAACTTTCTATGAGCAGGAGGCATGGTGGTTAGTGCCGTTATCTCACAACTGGATTTGATATTGGCTTCATGATTCTGTCTGTGAGGAATTTGCATATTCTCTCCAAGCTTCTTGTGGGTTTTCTTCAGGATTTCCTGCTAAAAGAGACCTTGGTAGTCTTGATTCTACAGTTCTTAATTTTGCCAAAAACAATGAGCTGGTGTCCCCTTTAGGGACAGACTTATCATGCTCGCCAAGACCCCAAGTTGTGCCCTATGCTTTTGGAATGGGCATCAGTTTGGACAAATTGCTTTCTGATGATGGATGGATGAATGAACAGGCCTTCCTTCGTTTAACATTGTCCATCCATCCATTTTCTAACTGCTTCTTCCAATTCAGGGTCACAGAGGAGCCAGAGATTATACTGGTGAGCAACAGGCAGAAGGCAGGATACCCCTTGGACAGGATGCCCGTTGAACTCAAAGACAAATACAAATATTGTAATATAGAACAAAGTTCAATTTACTGGCTGTCACCTTGTTCTACTGCAATTCCTAAAACGTTCATATATATTTCAGGAACTGAAATAGTAATTTTTTTCTTCTTTTGTAGCTCCTTCTCTGTTCAAGAAGTAAAGTATGGCACTTAAAGGCGAAGCACCTTCAATTGTTTCTGAAAGGAGACAGGGAAAAATAATGGTTTATTGTAAATTAAACTGAATGGAGACTGCTATTTTGTGTGAGGAGGCAGGCCAAAATATGACATCAAAATGAACATAATGTTT